GTGCCAAATATGTCCGCTGCACGTTTCTTGACTTTACTTCTGCTTTCGACTCTGTACCTAGAAGTCTCTTGCTAAATAAGCTCTCCACGACACAAACCGAGTCTTGGGTCACTAAGTGGTTGCATTCCTACTTTTCAAACAGAATGCAGTACACCGTATACAAAGGTCAATCCTCCTCTGCTGTGCTCACTGAATCTGGTGTCCCCCAAGGTGCTGTACTCTCCCCACTTCTCTTTTCATTCTTCCTACATGACCTACCGTCTTCAAATGATATTAACTTTGTCAAATATGCTGATGACCTAACTGTATCTTTACCTGTCAAATGTCAAAATGACTGCTCTAAACTAAATGGCTTCTTATCAGAAATTAGCCAATGGTCCAAGGAAAACGGTCTAACCTTAAACCCCTCCAAATGCCAAACAGTTAATTTCACCTTTAGGCATAAATCTGACCTAAACAAACTGGTTAGCGCTCACGAGGTGTGCAACATAGATGGCACTGAAATAGAAACTAAGTCGGAAATTAAATACCTAGGCGTCACTCTATCTTCTGATCTTTCCTGGTCGTCTCATATCTTGACGATTTCCAAGAAAATATACCGTCTTACCTTCTACATCAAGAAGTTAAGACATTCTGGTGTAACCCAACCCTTACTACTACAATTTGTTAACTCCCGTATTCTGCCTATAATTCTCTATTGCTCCCCCTTAGTCTTTCCTGGGCTATTGAAGAAAGACTATACCTTATTACGTAGGATGTTAAAGGTTGTCAGCAGGGTAAGCAGCTTGCCACTTAGCCAGCTTGTTAACATTCTGGTGGACAGGCACATGGACTCATGTGAAAAATGGGCGAAGTCCATTTTATCTGACTCACAACACCCTCTACACTCACAACTCTCCCCATGTATCTCTTCAGGGAAAACAAGAAGTCTATATAGGAAACTATATGCCCGCACTAGTAAGTACAAAAACTCATCCATACCCTACCTAGCCCGTGTTCTGTGTGATAAAGAATGCATCAGGCATGAAACCTTTAACTTATTAAATAGTCACTAGAACCAATGAATCTCGTCTTTCCAACTCACATCATTTATAGGTACAACGTTTTCTCTCTCTTCATTCTGTATTTATTTTTGTTATGTGCTGTTTTGTTTCTCTCTTCCTTGCAAACTCTACTTAAAACATTCTTGTTCGTTCTTTTACACTCTGTATATCTCGACCATTTTGCTATCGCTTACGCCAGTAAATATGCTAGTAGTATCTACTTTTGTAACACCTTCAAACATTTTAATTTTGGCTTTGCTACCGACATACTAATATGTTGTTGAGATAATCTTTAAACTATGTAGAACTTTATTTATTGTTAATGTAAAAAAAAACTGGATGCAATATTGTAGTAAAATGCTGAGAATTCCATTCTGTATCACAAGTACTGATTTGGAATAAAGCTTATATAATAATAATAATAAAAAAATAATAATAAAGATAAATTACCAAAGATGTCGATGGTATTGTGTGTGTATTTACAAAAGCAATCGCTCATATGCATCTGGTTATGTAGGTAAATACTCAGTGGATAGTGAACACATTGCATCAAAAGAGATGAGTCATTTTGGATTGTGTATCGAGTACCAAATTATCTCCCCGACAGGTATACAATTACATCTTTTGGCCAAGGAAATGTGAATAGGAAGAAACCTGACCTACGTATGCAAAAACATATACTCATCCTATGTTCAGACCATGTTAACCATTAACAGTTTGGAAAATATTTCGAAATTGCTACTGTACAAAAAGTGCGTTGACGATACCTTTATAGTCTGCTACGGTGACTCGAACCTCAACTGTATCTTACAAGAATTCAATAATTCCCATCCTTCGATTAAATTCACAATGGAATTAGAAAACGATTCAACGATTCCATTTCTGTACATGGAATTAACAAGAAGATATTATGGAATCCTGAAGAGATCCATCCACAGAAAACCGACATGGAACGGTCAACTAACGCATTTGTATATTTGGATACCCTTGAGCTGAAAACGGGCTCTCATCATCTCACCAACTTATCGCATCAAAAGAAGACATTTTGCTCGAAACCTTGTCATCTAGTTATTAATATTGCATCATAGCTCTACGGTATTTACAATAAACTTATCTAAAATGGAATTACAAACACATTCTACCACAGTGCTCAAGTCCTACACTTATATTAATAGACAAACTTAGTAGTTCAAGATATTTTATGAAGAATCTCTGAAGCGTACTTCATTTAAAATTTGTTCTCCTCAACCCTGGTTTCTTCTTATTTTAAAATCTAAGCAGTTTATAAATAAGAGAGTCGTTTTGCATGCCACAGATGGATGATATTGGTATAGTGACGATCAATACAGACACAAATTAACAACCAATAACAAACGAAGGTTATCAAGAGAGACAGTTATATCATATATCCCTAAAACCAAGTTCATTTTTTGAAAAAGTTCACATTTTGAAAAAATTTGGACATTGAGTATATGATATTCATTATAATAGGGGATTTTTGTATTTCCCAATGAATGAATGTAAAAGTCAAAACGATAGTGTCGTTATTTCTACTGACATTTTACTAGGGAAACATCATCAGAGATGCGTAGTAGACACACCGTAGAATCAGGCCACAAGATTGATTTTTACAATATTGAAATCATCATCCACAAACAGAATTTCAGAAATCACAAAAAACGTCGAATATCAGTTAGAAGCTCTTCGTATCACCAAATGGAATCCAAATTGTGTGAACAGGAATGGTGGACTAAAATGGAATTTCACTTGGCTACAAAATCCTCTACGAAATGACAATATCAACCTGAATGTGACAAGCTATTACACTTTGTAAACACGCACTTTTCACACCTGACAGTCTACACCTACCTGATTTTGTTATCTCTACCGATTGGTGAATTCGACAAACACGTGAATAATCGCCTCGTGTTGAGGAGCGATGTCAATTATATAAGCTGAGTGGATTTTGTAAATTCTGATTTGATAATACTGCCACTTTGATAAAGCTATTAGCAGCAGCATTAAATAGCGAAATGTCAGTAAAAACCACAACAATATCGTTGTGTTTTTCATTCAATGGAAAATACAAGATCGCTTTATAATGGTGTACACTCATCGTCCTCTTTGTACATCGTCCCTGGCCTTCTATGACGTCATTCGGGATGTAATCACCTCGTGTTTTCATGCCATTCTCACCTTTTCTTTTTACCTATTTCACTTCACATCATTATTTTTAAGAAGATTATTAGTTATCCTCCGGATTTACACCAAGCGTATCTTGTTCCTGTTATTTTGATTACAGTTCACAATTTAACCTCTTTAATTCATCCTTACACTTGTTATTTGACAGCCTTTTGAATGTACATTCAGTGTGGATCATTTGCAGACATTTGTTTGGATATAATTGGTGGATGGTGACTAGCAGTGGAATCCAGGATAACGCGCATTTCGTCCTGTTTGGGACTTGTCAGCTAGGTGTACAAGAAGTCGACATGTCAACCTAAGACCGAGCACTTCAGTCCAATCAATCGACGGGAAAATCTAAAATTCAGTTAAGTTTGTTTGCATATTGTCTGTAGTAATCACGCTTCCCTCACACCATTAAATATTACTCTGCGCCCATTCACTGTGAAACTTCTATTCTTCTGACTATGAAGACATATGGTATTGAAATTTCTTCTTGTTGCGTCCTACTTTCAGACTCTTAAGCGATGCATACCCACCAGCTCACCACTAGTTACTGAACTCAGGTGTACTTGTCATGAGATCCAGGTCGTTGAACATACAGCCATTTAGATTGAAATTCAGTAACTCCTGTAAATTCTCACTTTATCAACTTGTGTCATATAACGCTAACCTCGGCTAGTGCTTCCAATCAACATCCATGTCACCTTGATATTGTGGACTTCACGGGTCACGACTTCCTACTGTAGTCACTAAGGAGCTGGAAAATGATATTCAGATTTTAGGATTTTTTTTATTTTTTATTTACAGCTTGATTCCACACTGTATTTTTGGTACAAGTGTGGAACTTTCAGCATGGATATCGGTAGCCCAAATTTTGCAGGCCGACCATAGATATCAGATGTGCGTCGGTGCGGGCTCGAACCCCGGACCATGTGCATGGTCGGCGAGAGTCCTAACCACTGTGCCACCGAGGCACATGATGTTCTCAGTGACCGTACCTTTCACTCAGTTGAAAACGTTAACTATCAGACTGCCATTCAATCTTGTACACTCATATCACAGTACAGTTTGTGATATATTTTCCATTTGCCTTAACTGGTTATCTGTGCGTTCCACAATTCATGTAGTACCTGGTTGACGATGTTGCTGAGAAAATTTTCTTGTTTTGATTATTACTAATATTTATTTAATTTTCAACCTCATGAATACTTTTCACACTTTCATTTCTTGATGAATTCAAATCTGATCGAATCCGGTAACTTGAACTAAAGATAAGCGTTAGATAGATCGATAACCTTGAACATCCTACGTTGATTGGTTGGTTGGTCGATTGGTGTTTCTGATTGGTTAATATCAACAACCAATAGGTGAACAATATTCTTTATCACTCACTGGTAATTCTACTAGGGGATAGATAAAATGGTATGCAAATTTTACGATCATTTGTGAAATCATTTCTGCCAAAAAAAACATTTCACATTCTAGTTGTCAGATGTCACTTCATCACTTTAGTTCTCCACGACAAATTTGATTTCTGCATATTTTCATTGAAAAATTCAATTAATCAAATATATTATTTAGTACGAGTATAAATATCACTAAAATACGAAACTAAAATACGTATATTTTCCCTATTGTCTGTTGGTGTTCATCCGTCAACCGAGACAGTATTGTTGATGTTATTGATTTTTTAATTGGGAATAATCATCATCATTTATTTCACATCATTCTCAAAACAATTAAAACAATAATTAAAAATTTATTAGTAAAATGTCTATTAAAACAAACCACCCACAGATAATTTTATACTGGATTGAATTAGTAAGTTAATTGAACTGTTTGTCTTTGTTTTACTGAAACATTTTTGACATTTCGTTTAAATATGAGGTTTTTTTATTTCTATTCCCATTTTCTCTCTGTGGCTTTGACATGACATCTTGGACTCATTCTGTGCGTCAGTGGTTAGGACTCTCACCGATCATGCACACGATTCGGAGTTCGATCCCCTACTACGAAGCACACCTGATATCTATGGTGGGCCTGCAAAATTTGGGCTATCGATATCACATGCTGAAAATTCCATACTTGTATCAAAAAATAAGGTGTGGAATCAAGCTGTAATCAAAAATCAAATCAAGTCTTGTTTCGCCGTCTCCACAACTGCCCATGAGCTGTCATTTCTTCCCTCCCCTTGCGACTTAAATTGATCTCTCACGTGTTACTCATGTATCTCCGCCCAACTCGTCGTTTCACACTCGTCGTCCGACAGAAGGTTTTCTCTGTCGCGTGACATCATTCAGCGGTCTCCTCCGTGTATGTCCTGTTTTATCTCCATTCCCTTCAGCATATTTACTGTGTAATCGGTTTTCGCTCGAATCATTCTTGAGCCTCTGATCTTCAATATCGAATGAAGTGAAGAGTTGTCGGTGAAAGTCTACAGTTGGAAATGTTTTCGATGATATGCATCACATACAAATCCCTGGACAATAAGGGAGAATTGACTGATTTGACGTTATTGTCACAAATGTCTGTTCAAATCTTGTATGTATGTCTTGTTTGCATTGTAATATAAACATCGATTGCAATGAGTCACACTGACAAATGATTTCCGAACGATTATTTATTTATTGATATTAACAATTTAAACCCACGCCTTTTGTGGAAAACAAAAGTTTAGGCATGCTTATAAATCTAATTAGCCAGTGATGACAACATATTTGTAAATTTATGTGAAATCAAATACGTTTTATTCGGAATCCTAATTGACTAACGCAAATAACAAGATAAACCTGATGGCGATCGTAACTTAGTGGTCTAAAGAATAATAATTTAATGGTTAGTGGATTAAAGTTTTAGTGAGAATACCACCACTCATTTGAAGTGCAGGTAAATAAGGCTGATGAATCCAAAATCGGACGAAATATATATCGTAAATTCCACTCCTAATCTCACTGTCAAAAAAAGCTATTGAGAATTCGCCTTCAATCTTGTTAAAATCAATATTCATAAAATCAATAATTCATAGGGAATATCGGCAAGAGCTGGCCAAACACAAGGCTGTCTTATATGGTGAAATCTAGAATATATGTGTTTATGGAGAGTTGTAATTTCTCTGAATATCAGGGAATAATTCTTTTTCTTCTAGGTTCGCCAGGATCAATGTCTAGATTTCGAAAGTTTCGAAAGTAGTCAACATCATCAGTGCTAAGCGCATTTTTAATGGTTTAACAACTGAACTATTCAGCTTAATGAAAATAACGCCTTCATACATTTGGTTCCCTGGTTAAATTTCGATAAAGATGATATCGCCATTCTATTTCACAGGTTCTCGTCAGCTGCACACACCTACTTCAAATTACAATGATTATACAGATGATAATAACATACTTGAATGTTTAAGTGGTAGTAGAGAAGAAATACCATATTAACCACTGTGCGTTGGTGGCACAGTAGTTAGGCCGCTCGTCGACCGTGCACATGGTCCGGGGTTCGCTCCCCTGTCGACGCACATCTGATCTCTATGGTTGGCCTGCAAAATTCGAGCTACCGATATCACATGCTGAAAATTCCATACTTGTACCAAAAACTACGGTGTGGAATCAAGCTGTAATAAAAAAAATCCAAAATGTAAGCATCATAATTTTTAGTTTACGTTTTCAAAGTAGAAAAGAGGGGAAGCGGTAAGACAGAAAACATAAAATATTTATTAATGGAATAGTGTTAGCTTTTAGTTTTAGTGTTAGGTTGTAATTTCACATAACAAAACGAAAAACAAAAGCGTTTACAGTTTATAACATTGAGATTTATTCAGTGAGTTGAGATCACTGAATTAGGTTGTGGTGAGAGCTGGCTGTTAATCAAAATCGGTGGACAGTAATTTACGTCAACAATGTTTATGTCCACAATGTTGGTCGTGAGGAAAATGAGAACAAAAGTTTTGCGTAGGCGGATACAGTTGGCATATAGACGATCTGACTTAAAAGAAACAGCCACAAAGAGATGACAGGTTAACTTTCTGCGAGAAACAACCAATCAGAAGACTGTGTTTTTCTGCTAACAATAATCTGTAATATGTACATGAGAATCTATAAATATGTTTTGATTTCGTAAATAAACCATCTGTTGACTGGCCCTTGTCTTCCGCCGTTACAAGATGACTAATTAATGTAATCAAAATCAAAATTTACTTACAAAGAGTGTAAGTGAGAGATTAACCACACTCTCTTTCTGTATGCATAATTCTGGTTGGTTTGAATCGTTTGATTGCGATCGCTTCGGCAAATCGTAGTAAATTTGCTGTCCTTTGTCTATTTAACATTTTGAAGGACTTAGAAATTTCTGCGAGATGACCAGTATCAACAAGGTGTGTCTGGTAATTTCACTCTGAGAATATTCGCTTCAGGCTTTCAGGCACAACTGGGAGTATGTGAAAGCAGATGCAACGGGAATGGACTCACCAAATTGTCAACCAGCGTATCAGTGGTCTTCTCCGGTCACCCAGAAGATAACCACGCGCACACCGAGGGCGTGGCTATCACGATGTCACCAACGGCAACAAACGCCCTGATGCAATGGGAGGCGATCTCGACTAGGATAATGACCGCCAGATTCAACTCCAAATCAAGGAAAGTGTCAATTATACAATGTTATGCACCCACAAACAACGCAGACCTCTAAAGGAAAGAAGAATTCTACAGACAACTACAGGCAGCAATGGACAGTACTCCAGCTGGTGACATTAAAATACTGATGGGAGACATGGAAACCAAACTGGGATCAGACAACACTGGAAGGGAACTCATCATGGGTAGAGAAGCTCTCGGAGAAATGAATGAAAATTGAGGAGAAAAAAACTTGGAGGATCTGGACTTCGCCGATGACATATGTCTGATGTCCCACAAACTGGAAGATATGCAAGTGAAAAGCAACAAGTTGGCAGAAGAAGCATCCAGAGAAGATAGAACTTCAGGTGAACATAGAGAATAGAGAGGTGATGCAGATTCCTGGCCAACACCAACAGCCACAGCAACAACAGACAACAATCAGCCAGCATAAATGGAAGGAACCTGAAAGAAACAACCTCCTTCACCTACCGACCTACCTGGGAGGCATCGCTTCAACTACAGGCGGAACTGACGAGGATATCAAAGCAGCGAGGATCGGAAAAGCGAGACAAGCTTTCACTACTCTTAAGTCTGTGTGGAGATCAACAGCATTCAGCATCAAAAATAAGATACAGATTTTCAACTCTTGTGTGAAGTCAGTGCTACTCACTACACGGATCAGAAACTTGGCCAGCGCGTCATAAAGAGCACCTCAAACAAACTACAGACCTTCATTAACAGCAGCCTTCTCTCAATACTGAAGATCAGATGGCCGGCCAGAAAAGATCAGAAACAGGGATCTGTGGCAATAAGAGAACCAACACAGCAGGAACCGATTGTGAAACAAATAGGCAGGGAGAAATGAAGATGGATTGGTCATATCCTGAGAAAACAAACCAGCTCTAGGCCATCGGTCGAGTGGAACCCGAAAGGGAAGCGGTGAGTTAGTCTTCAGTGCAAGGGCGACTTCAAGGAGGTCATGTGAAGAGGAAATGAAAGCATGTGTGCAGACTTGGGGCAGGTGAAAACTCTAGCAGAGAACCGAACGCAATAGAGACGCGCGGCTGAAGCCCTATGTTCCTCTAGGAATTAAAGGATATGGTAATAATAAATAATAATATAATTCAGGCGCAGGTTTCTTGGAATATGTTCAGAAAACAGGATAGAAGCCCTGCTTTCCATCCTTTGAATGTACTTGCGGTAGCAAGTACACGTAAATTCATAAACGCAGTTGAAAGCGTGTAAATTGATGATGCAAAAACTTGAACTAAAAATTGTAATGATTAAATTTTGGATGCATCACTTTTATAGCATCTCTTCTCTACTACCAATTAAACATTCAAGTATGCTTTTATCATCTATATATAACCACTATAATTTCAGGTAGGGTGTGCAGCTGATGAGGTACTGTGAATTCGAATGATGACGATATAATTTTATACTGCAAAAATCGTCTTCCTTTCTTTATCGAAGTTAACAACATTCAAATTATTATATAATAATAAGTTATAATTATCCTCAGTCAAAACACTCACTGGCCAATTGATATAAAATATTCCCTCTGAAGAAGAGAAAACCATTTTGAACATGGTAAGGAGAACACTCTGCTGATCGGGAGGGGGGGGGGCTATGGAGGTTGGAGGGGATCACAACACATCATTATATTTAGTTGGTTATTTTCAGTTGTGTACGCTTATTTTCAACTTTCTTTTATCCGATTAAAAATGCCCATTAAAATTTTCAAAAGACTGGATACTGAACAAAGAGTACTCTTTTCGATAACCCCTTCATCATCAGTCTCTACATTTATGCAAACATTATAGTGAATGAATGAGTTAGTGTTATGAACGATATCAGTGTTTAAATAACATCGAATTGATAATATTGATAGATTACAGCTGAATCGCATCAACATAGAATAAGCTGAATGTCAGAAACATTAGGAAGGATAATATTACAAATTCATGAGTTTATAGCTTCTACTGAAGGCCAGGGCAATAGTAGGGGTTGGACTTGCTTCTTTTGGACACAGAGTGCTGGTTGTTTGAGGCGAATCGCAATAGCCTCTGCTGTTTGGAGCCCGAGGTGCTTCGATGTTTTGGGCCACTTCTAATTGTATCTATGAATTCAACTGCGCTTATGGAGGCAGTTGTATTGGCCGCTGCTCTAGGAACTTGATTTTTCGTGCTGGCTCGAGAACATCTCCCAGCATGGCTA